AATACAATGGCACCATATGTGATTGTGGTAAATCGGTATTATCCATATCTCTTGAACTCCACTGAGTTGTATTCTTCAAATCTGACCATTTATGAGCTCCTAAAGGTATTGTACCAAACTGAATGTCTACAACAGTCCTCAACTTGTGCTGATTGACTCTTCTAAATTCTGCACGACCCTACAAGATGTATAACCGAGACTTTTTCTGTCCCTCCAATACAACTTGAGCACCCTTACAAACCATCAAAACTTCACCTCCATCAAATAACTTATAATCTTTTAAATCAAGAATAGACAACGAGATGAGATTTTTCTTCAATTCTGGAATATGTCGAACCTGGTCAAGTTTTCTAATTATCCCATCCAAAATCTTCAATCTGACTTTGCCAATTCTAGCACCCGACAAGATGCATCGTTTCCCATAACCACGATATATTTGGAAACAGTTTCATATATAGCAAACAAGTCCTTATTAGGACACATATGAAATACGCATGTTGAATCAAAAATCCAATCATCTTTCGGTTTAGACTTAATATCATAAATAACTAAGAGTTCTCCATCACTTGCAACGTTCTCCACAAGGTCTCTTCGCCTGAAGTATCTGAATACCTACTTGCAGCAATCCTTTCTTTATTATGCAATTTGTAGTAATCCGTCTTTAAGTGCCACTTCTTCTTGCAGTAGTTACAAATCTGATTACTGAACTTAGATTTCGATCTGTCCCTTCCAAAACTACCATAAGCAACCATGTCTTCTACATCTCTAGTCTCAGAAATCAGATGCTTCATCTTCTCTTTTGAATACAAAGTATCATATACTTCTTCTATGGTGAGAGTATCACGACTATACAAAATCATGTCTCTAAAGAAGAAAATGAAGCGGGCAACGAACATAATAGGATCAAGGCCAAATCTTCTTCATCATACTCTACTTCCAAAGTTTCCAAATCAGCGACGATCTCCTTAAATACAATCAGGTGATCTTCCAATGATCATCATTCTGCTATTCGATGAGAGTATAAACGTTGTTTGAGGTTCAACTAATTGTCAGACATTTAGTCATGCACAATTGCTCCAACCTCAGCCATAAAGCAGCTGTTGAATTATCCTTCAAAATGTCCTGAAGAATAGTATTTGATAGATGAAGATGAATGTAAGAAACTGCCTTCTTATCATTCTGTAATTTCTCCTCTGCGGTCAAAGTTGCAGCTATCTTGTCAATTCCAAGCAACGCATCATCCAAATCTAGTTGTGCGAGTACTGCACGTATCTTAACCTGAATATCTAGTGCTCCAATCCAAAAGTGGAATGTCATACTTCATGGAAGCCATCACGAATAAAAAACTTAGAACAAATCAAACATTGCACTCTTGTAGAACTACTGAACCTGGGGTTCTGATACTAATTGTTGTAAAACAATCAAGATACTAGAATAGCTCTGATATCAATTATTGTGGAACAAACCACCGGATTGAGATGTTGAAGTTATATCGCAAATGATAATAAAATATTTGATCAATCAAAAGAATAAAGAAGATAAAAATATGTCAGATGAATTAAGAGATTTTATTGACTCAAGAATAATGGAGAAAAGAGAAAATTACAATAGATCCTATAATTCTAGTAATCTATTTTCTCACACTATAAAATTGTATATAAGAGCCTAATATTTATAGGGAATAAGTAGGAGATGTACAAACCCACCCGTAGAGTTGTTGATGAAGTATGATACAATAAAATTGAGTCCAAAACAAATTTCAACTCCCACTAGGCTTCCAAAATAGAATTTCAACTTGATCTAGGACTCCAATAATATTTCAAACTTGAATTCTTCTTGATGTTCACTACAATTAGAATTCTTCGATACTTCAAACAAGAAATTCGGGTCACACCCAAATTCTAACACGAACGAAAAGAAATAAGACTTTCATAATGTGTTTGTACTTTAAACTTTTCTACGTTGATGACCTTACTAAAAGATTAAGCTAGAAGAGGGGTATATTGGATCANAAAAAAAAAAAAAAATTGTTGCCCATACAATATTAAGGTTTTGTGCGATCGCTTATCTCGTGTACTTTTGGGACCACACTGATCATGGGTGGCTCAAGTGGGCATTGTGGGGGTGGATTGGGAAGAAATATTTTTATTATTTTTTTTTCGAAAAATGCTATTCATCCCCAATCTACGTGGCGTTAATGTGATATTAAATAATAGGTGAAATTAAATAAGTCATTTAATTTCACATATCATTTAACCAATCATTTACATCCACATAGACTGTGGATGCATCCCCACTGGGGATGAATAATATTTTTCTTTTTTTTTTCTAGTTTGTTTTGTCAATTATATATTTTTTTAAAACATTAGCTTCGTTTGATGGGAATTAAAAATATCTAAATTTTAATTTAATTCAAAATCAAAATAAATTTTAACAACATATTCAACGTGATTCACAACTTTTCAATCACATATTTCATCAATTTTTAGTAAAATCTACTAAAATTTTGATTTTAATACCACCAAGCAGAGAATTGGACTCCTGCCGAGTTTTTCTTTTATGTTTTATTTAATTTTTTTTTTTTGGTGTGAGTGTACTAAAGAGGGAGAAATTTATTATTTCACGTGATTTTACCAACAAAAGTTTGAGGATGAATTTGTAAGAGTTGAGGAGGAAAAGTACAAATTAGCCTGTACCCGTATACTATCACATGTTTTTGTTAATAACAAAGCGATAGTCAAGTTTGACAATTTATAACCGGGATTAGGTGAATCAACGGTCCGGTCTAGGGCTAGTTTTTGGTATATTCATTCTGCAATTCGGTCACAATTTAAAAGCCTCTTTTATGAGCCACGTTTAACTTTGACATAGAAAGAGGAAAAAAAGTACTTAACTAGAAAACAAATCCAACGCTCTCTCTTTCTCCGTCACTCTCCGATCGAATTTTGTGTTTTGTGTTTATATATGATCCCTGTATATACACACATACACATACTCACTGATATCACTACTTCCAATTTCAGGCAGCGTATTTTATTTACTAACTAAATGGACGCGCTTTTGCCAGCGATCAAACCGGGATTAGTTCATTCGCCGGCGAGTACTTTCCGTGACCATGCGTTTCTGTTCTTCGGCTCGGGTCGACCGGTTAATAATTCAAATCTGATCCGGATTCCAAAGATTATGAAGGTGAAAGCGGTAGCACACAAGCAGTCTTCTACTGCTAGTAGTGCACCGAGTATTGATTTCAGCGATCCAGATTGGAAGTCAAAGTACCAGCAAGACTTTGAGGCGCGTTTCAACATACCGCACATCACCGATGTCCTCCCCGATGCCGTTTCTTACCCCTCCACTTTCTGCCTTAAAATGAGGTATCTGTTTTTTAAATTTCCGATTATGATAAATATAGAAGTTCTGTCTTTTTTGCTAGTTTTGAAGTAAGTTTTCTAGAGAAACCTGCACGTGCATGGAATTGACGTGATCTTGATTTTTGAAGATTTCATTGTTAAACTTTGTGAATTGACCTTTATTTTGTATGCTAATCAGCTAAAAGAGGATGACTTTTTATTGATGTCTAACATTTTTATCCTCCGTATATAATGCCCTAATTGTGTTCAACTTCTGTATATTTTAAATCAGTTTGAGTGTGCAAATTTTATTGTTAATTTAGATATCTTTAAATCCAAAGTCCAAGTCATTTGCTTGCTGCAAAAAAATCCCCAGATATTGAATGAAAAGCTAACTGAAATTTTTAGTTGACACTTGCTCTTTCTATTTGAAGAAAATAATTTTAGATTCTGTAACAGGACTCCGTTAAGTCCAGATTTTGCAGAACGTTATCCTTCAGATGAGGAATGGCACGGTTACATCAACAATAGAGACAGAGTACTGCTCAAGGTATTATGCACTTGTCCCTTGGTTTTTTCTTTTGTTTGCTGTTTGTTCTTTCGTGCCAATCAATTAGCAATATTGACGTAATGCCGACAATGCATAATTCATAGTTTAGATTATTTTTTTGTCATTTGTAGATTTCAGGAGTGATTTCACATAACGAGCACATTCCCTACTTTTTGGTTACTAGATTAGATTGGTTTAGTTGGCATCTAAAATTCATTTCTTATCAAATTACTATATCACTGTAAGATTGCACCTGTGATTAGCATTTAATTGCTGAATTCTGAAACTTAAGAAGTGCAAAAAGATACCTCGTGAGAGACCGTCTGGAAAAAGAAAATTGAATATTGGATATGTTACATACGTGTGTGCATATAGACACATGGTAATACATATGTGTTCTTTCAACCCTATTTTAGATTAAAATAGGTAATATATGCATGTAAAATTGGGGCTTTTTAATTTCTGAAATTAGCTTGCCAAAAAGGAAATTATTTTACATCTACAGGAACCAGAGACTAGTTAGTATACGTCTTATTTTTATGCTAATTGCCTCTGACAATGTATGCCATGGTTTCAGGTCATACATTATTCTTCTCCTACCTCTGCAGGTGCTGAGTGTATTGATCCTGATTGTACATGGGTGGAGCAATGGTAAATCTCCATGAACTATTTTAACAGTTGACAAACGTTAAATTACTCTAAAGTGATTGTCCATTTACAAATACAACACTTTGACGTGGAAACTCGGTAATCGCCCATGGTTTCCAAAGACATCAAAATATACAAATTTAGAGAAACTTTATAACTACATATTTGTCTAGTGTAAGCAGAGATTTGTGTACTGTTTCCAGAGTAGATGAAAGAGGTGTGTCATCGACACATTACTCTCTCTTGATTCATTCATTCCACTTGAGTTTAATATTAGAATCCTCATAATTCCCCTTCCCTCACGGGTTTTTTCAAAGGTTAAAGGTGCAGTATGCAGCTAGCACATAATCACTATCACGACCTTTCTGTTATATTCACATCAGCCTGGCCTTCCTTGTGTCTAGAACATGTAATAGTGTTACTTTGATATGTCATCAACCTTACCATTTACTATAATTTTTATCATATACTCTGAGGTTTTGAATGGGAAGGTTGCTGAACTGGATTAATGCCTATTAAATTCTTGAATATGTATTTTGTTGGCTGGATTTATTCAGATATACCACTAGCTTTTTAATGTGATCCAGAATGTCAAATTGATGGATAAACATTTCTCCTCATCATATCAAAACTTAGAAGATTACCTTTTGTCTAATTGAAGCATTTTTCAGATTTTCACCACAAGCTTTTCTGATTATATTTTTTTTCATCCTAGATTTTATCCTAGTAAAGGTAAAGGTAACCAGCTCATTATTTCATTTAAATTATCACTTAAATTTCAGGGTTCACCGTGCTGGTCCTCGAGAAAAAATATACTTCAAACCAGAAGAGGTAAAAGCAGCAATTGTTACTTGTGGAGGACTTTGTCCTGGTCTTAATGATGTCATCAGACAGGTATATTTCCGTACATTAATGCTCTACTCGTTTCAGTTTATATATCTTTCTCTGTATTATCTTATTCTTGTCGCTCTACAGCTAAAGTAGCCTCTGATTTTGAAGGACTTCACTAATTTATTTTTCAAACTCTTTTTTGCTGGAAGACTAAATTATGTTACTATTGCTTGGTCGCATAAATAATTGCTTTCGCCTATGTAAATGAACATTGTTCAGAAGAAAGGATGTAGACTGATTGCTACAACTGAATTACATGAACTAAACCATTGTAGTGTAAATTTGATTTGCCCATATTTTGATTTTTAACCTGGGAAGTTTGATACTACACTTGCAATTGTGAGCCTAGAAACTGTGTGAAGTAATTGTTAATTCTAATTCTAACTTCCTAATCATTTGTTATGGATGCAGATTGTCATCACCCTTGAAATATATGGTGTGAAAAAGATTGTGGGAATTCCTTTTGGTTATCGCGGGTTTTCTGACGAAAGTTTAGCTGAAATGCCAGTAAGTTCCTTCACTAATTTGAAAATAGTACTTTGAATGTTTTCCATTTGTCATGGAAGGAATTATGACAATATAAAATAATCAAAGATCTTTTCTTCATGCAAAATAAATAAATAAATAAAACTTCTAAATAACACACTGTCAGAAGCGGTCATAGATTGTGTTGGTCAATGCTCCTAATATTTCATTCTTGGGCTAAGTCTATACCTATCTAATTGTAATCTACATTTTAATAATGATCTGAACTGTGGCCTCTTAGAAGATGTGTAATTACTCAAATAACCTATCGTTTCAAATTGTCAGGTTGCCTCGGTAGTGCACGTACGCCTGAGTTGATTCCCTGAATTGTATAATGTAAAATGTGTATCCCTTATCTCCTAGCCTCTCTTGGTCAACATGTGATATCATGACCATTACCTTGTCACCCTAGCACTTCAGATTTTGGTGTGTAGATTATCCCTACTGCATATAAAACATAACCAAAAAGCTCTAATATTGGCTTATTAGTTATGGTTATTATTAAATTTGTAGGAATAGCAGTAATTTTGTTGTTTTAACTCCTCCTCATCAGTTATCTAGGAAAGTGGTTCAAAACGTCCATCTCTCCGGTGGAAGCTTGTTAGGAGTCTCACGTGGAGGGCCTTCAGTTAGTGAAATTGTTGACAGTTTGGAGGTAACACCCCTGTTTTCTTTCGCTTTGTCATATAAAATTGGTTTGGCAAGGTGTGTTTGTTTGATATGCCTTTAATTGTTGATGTTAGGAAAGAGGGATTAATATGCTCTTTGTGCTGGGTGGAAATGGAACACATGCTGGGGCCAATGCAATACATGAAGAGGTTGTTAAGACTATGGCCTTTATACTCAAATTGGCACTCCACTATATGTTATGCTTTCATTTAATATTCATTCTATCATAATCCTTTCTTATGGAATTCAAGAGTTTAAATATCTGAGTAATTTTCAACAAATCAAATTAAGGTCACCCTAGAATCTACATGCCTTAAAATAGTTAAGATTAAATAAGGATTGAAATAAATCATGCAACATTAATGAAGTATTAATGGTGACTTGTTGTCTTGGTTACATGTCTAATCTTCTGTAGGCTTTTGTTCTTGAGGTTAAGTGTTTGTTATATTCTACTTCTATTTTTTTTAGGAAGTTTGTTTTTTCTATCTGTATTTGCTATGCAGTGCAACAAAAGACAGTTAAAGGTAGCCATCGTTGGTGTGCCAAAAACCATTGACAATGATATCCTGTTTATGGATAAAACTTTTGGTTTTGATACGGCTGTCGAAGAAGCGCAAAGAGCAATTAATTCTGCATACATTGAGGTCTGAGTTTGTATTGTTACTAATACTTGGAAGTTCCATCTTCAAACACTAATAGTTTTTTCATTTCTCTATTTTTCTATTTATGGGTTTGTACATTTAAATTCTATAAAAATATGATTCTTTTACTCGTATTACAGGCACATAGTGCTTATCATGGTATTGGGATTGTAAAATTGATGGGCCGTAATAGTGGATTTATAGCTATGCAGGCATCGCTTGCAAGCGGACAAATTGATATATGTTTGATTCCAGAGGTACTAGTTTTGTGGACAAAGAAGTATTTACTTATAAAATCCTATTGATGTGTTCGTTAACATGAGACACTTGCATATATAGGTGCCTTTTAATTTACATGGGCCTCACGGTGTCTTGAGTCATCTCAAGTATCTCCTCGAGACAAAGGGATCTGCTGTAGTCTGTGTTGCAGAAGGAGCTGGGCAGGTAAGTTAGACGGTGTTCTCTTAGAAATAGTTCCTATTATTGTTAATAAAAAATTCAATATCCTCCATACCCTTATGAATATACTTCTGTTTTCTTTCTTCATAATTCGAGTACAATGACAAACATCAACTAATTAATTTGCAATCTTTTCAGATGTAGCGTTTGAAATCCAACAGCTTATGTCTTCTCATACATGCCAAATCTTTCTGGAACTTGATCATTAAATGCTTTATCATGTTTCAACAGTAAACTTTCTCCAAACCTGATACTTTTTTAAACATATCATTAAAATCTGATAAATGAATATTCAATAAATTAATAACATAGCTTAAATAATAAGTTTTTCTGGTCTTTGACTCGAGACATTACTAAATTAATAATCTTACTAAAATATTTGAGCCTCATATTTTTGGAGAATAGAGAATAAGATATAAGAATTGAGAGAGTATAACAGAGACCAAAACTCAAGAATGCAAGTATTTTTTGCCTCGAGTATGTAAGTTTATTGTAACAATGATGCATATATAGGGTTCCAATGGGGGGTTACAATCTTCTAGAGTAAATACGTAACATTTAGATAAAACACATTATCTATCCATTTACAACATTATAGAACTTTTTACTTTACTTTTGTTTTTTCAATTCAATTTATTTCTGAAAATATGTATTTAAAATTGCTTGCTCTTTCTTTATACTCAAACCAAATCCAACATCTTCCCTAATTTTTTGCAATGCATATGCGATTTGTTATATTTTTTTCATTTTAAAGTTACAATGCTTGAAATTTATTTGGAGAAACACATAGTGAATCACAGCTACCATTTGAAATCGAAATCATTCTCTGTCAGCATGTCTAATACCTCTTTATAAGTAGGTTATTTCATCATCATATCATTTTCACTAGGATAATTCGAAAGGTGCTCGCCATGCCATCCATCAAATTTTAATTACATTAACTAGAAATGACTTTACATAATCTAGCCGTCTAAACGTTATTATTTTATAGAGGATTTACAATAGGTTTTCAGTTTGAAAGAATACGTTGTCCAAGTACTTTTGCAATGTGGAAAATAGAATTGACGATCAAGAAAACTCACTATTGACAAATTTACTGCTATTTTGAGTACACATGTATCAGTTTTTTCTTTCTAAAAGGCGGGAGTATATTCTTCTGCCAGTCTTTTCCTCAATTTGAAAATTCTCTCTTCACCAGTCATCAAATCTGGACAAGTTCTTGTAAGACTATGATAAAGGTCTTATTTTCAAATTTCAGAATTCCTAATGTGCTGTTAGAATATAACTAGTTAATTACAATCAATTTCTGTTAATTCTGAAATCCAAAGTAGGTGGACTGCTTTTGAGTGTTTTCAATAAACAGAAATGTCTCTCCTTTTCGTTTTCAGGATTTTCTCGAGAAAATCAATGCTACAGACGCATCAGGAAACATTATATTAGGAGATATTGGTGTCCATATACAACAAGAGGTTGGCTGCTGACCCTGATCATTGATCTTCATCTTCTTGCCATGCTTGTTTTGATTAAATTGATTAATAGATTGCTAGCCAATTGATGTAGAAATATTTATGTAAAGACAGTGCTACACAAGCATAAAAATTCCGCTTTTTGTAATGTATTTTGATGCTTATGTTATTGTTAAACGTTCTCCTGATTGTAAGATGCATCAATGGTTTGGTCCACCTAATATGTTACTAATGCAATTGGAATTACTTCTTATAGACAAAAAAATACTTCAAAGGGATTGGGTTTCCAGCTGATGTAAAGTACATCGACCCAACATACATGATACGTGCATGCCGTGCAAACGCATCAGATGGAATTCTCTGCACTGTTCTTGGTCAAAATGCTGTAAGTCTCTAATGCTTGTAGGCTTCTTGTTTATTTTTGGCCATAATGATATATCCCGTGCCATGCACAGGTTTTTACCATTATCTAACTGGCAGTTCTATAGTTTTGAAAATTTGATTGAAATGGCGAAATTTATATGAATGAACCGTATCTTTCATATAGAGCTGTTTTACCATGGAGTAGCTGAAGAAATAATATTTGGCTTTTAATTAAGAAATTAGTTATTTTAGGTTACACAAACATTTTGGCAGGTCCATGGTGCATTTGCTGGATATAGTGGTATCACAGTGGGGATATGCAACACTCACTATGTCTATTTTCCGATTCCTGAAGTCATTGCCCAGTCCAAGGTTGTCGACCCCAACAGCCGTATGTGGCATCGTTGCTTGACATCAACTGGACAACCGGACTTCGTGTAAGTAGAAGGACATGTAACTTATTCTCAAGAAACCTTATTTCATACTGTAGATTAGAGAAGAAGGATTGCCAGCTTCAGAAGGGTTCTGGCTCTGTCTTTTTACATCCCATTATTCAAGTTCTCTCCCAAATTTTGAGGTGTATAGCATTCAGTGTTCTGCACCGACAATAAAATCGCAAAAATACTGAGATTTTTTTCTCTCTTGTAATTTGAAGAGATTAATTTAACTCAATAATTCCTTGTTACTATGTAAAACTAGTTTCTGCTGAAGAGAAAATTATTTTATCATGCTTTATGAAATAAATACTGACATGTGCAATAGATGAACCAAGGCATTGTATATTGTATAACTGTTATCAATTTTTGTTCTTTAATTTCTTACGAAACATATCCTTAGGGTAAATGCACGTATTATGTAAAGACTCGGTAATGCAATAGTCGAGATTTTAATTTCTTTTATCAATTATATAATTTCGAGGTAATTAACACAGTTGCAGTAGCATTATGGAATCGATAGCCATTGAGCTGGGGGTGTGACCTTTTCAAGGGCACGTGACAATAAAATTCTAATTTTTAATCATAATGTACTTTGAGCTCGATATTATAATTTAAAAAGGTATTAGTTATAAATAATAGTATTTTTTAAATCTTTTTTCTTTTTTAGTATTTGTTCATTAAATGTGTAAATTTTTTTAAAAATAATAATAAACGTGTAAATTCTTTTCCAAGCGGAATTATGGATTTCGGGATGCCAGGCCCTCCTGTCAACACAGCACTACAGTACTAGCCAATCTTAAGATTCCTTGGAAGGAGTCCGACCAAGACCTAATTTTCTTATTCCTTGAATGTCTTGAGAGTACAAGTAGTTCGAAGGAACAATTGAAGGAACCGGAGGCTTGTTCTATCGTATCTGATAGAAAATTACACCTATGACCGGTCAACCTAACTTTTGGTACTGCAATTAATAATTTCATACATTCTTGTGTAATTCGCATTAAATAGAGTTGGGGGAATCCTCAATTTATTTAAATCCCATCACTATCAATAAACTGTCCTATTACCAGTGCTCCCCCACAAGATTTATTACATTATGCAAATCCTTAATTAAATCTGCTTCAGTTAGATAATATTCATCTAACATTTTAATCACATTAACTAACACTGAGAAATGTTCTGTTTATCTGGGGTCTTGTGTCTTCTTACATATTCTCCCGCCGAACAAGTGGTTACATTGACATTTTAATCGAAATCGAACCCCTCGAACTGAAATTGGAGGTTCGATCTGATTCCAAAAAAATTAAATTAGAAATCGGAACCAAGAACTGATTGGGTTCGGGTCGATTCCTGAACTAGATCTGTGGGTACCCAAATAAAACCAATAGTTTATATAATCTTTTATTTTTTACAATTTACAGGTTGGATAAAAAATTACAAAACCTAAAAATTTTATTTTGAGTAGTAATTTGTCTAAAACTCTAAAATGTAATCCTAATAAATCTTGACTGCCTCCTTTTTTTACATCCGCCTCATATTAGATTGTTGCATTTCAGGTGTTAGTATATGTTAATCTTTACAGTTTGGGCTTTCTATTAATTAAAAAGTTCAAACTAAAGTTGTCGTGTAAGTCGATGAATCAAAGCATTCATTTTTTGTTTTCTTACATTATTTACAAACTTAAGTGATTTTTCATACCTTGGGTTTTGTGTACCTTTTAGGTCATGTCGAGTTCGTGGTTTTTTTTTTTTTTTGAAATATAAGTTTTCATTTTTTTACTTAAACAGAGCAAGTTCAATATGTAAAGTGCAATTTCTTGATACCATATATTTATGATATCAAGATAGTATTTTTTTTATGTTAGTTCGTTTTAAAAGTAGAATTTAAAAATTGTCCACAATTAATTATAGACTCTAGTATGCTTCATTTATGAATCGAACAAGATTTATTAAGAAAAAAACTTTTGAAACTGCAATTTAATTTTTTCCTCTTTTCGTGGTTCTTAATCTCCACTATTTTGAGTTGTATAGTTGAATTTCTCAGTTTCTTGCATATTTTTTTAACTAGATTTTCTCTCTTCCACAAATATTATTGAATAGTAGTGGATTAGGTATACGTATCGAAATGACCTAATATTAAAACTTTTATTTTATATATTCAAGGACGTGATTATATTTACAATACTAAAAGTATAATGGGTGGTTCCTAGTATTGAAATACTCAGATCAATCCACCCGATGTTCAAGCCTAATTGGTCATATAGTATTGAATAATATTAGGCCTCTATTTGAGCCCCAATTTTTCAAGAATACATTTTTTTAAACTCATTTTCAATTACACATTCTCTCTTAACATAATTATACCGTATTTAAAAAAAAAAAATCCTTACTTTTTAACCACATATTCTCCAAAAAATCACTATTCCATAATAAATTTTACCCCAAAATGCGGATCAGGGGCTAGATAAGAAAGAAGGATACGAGATGTTTCTATACGTTCTGAGAATAACTATAATTCCTACATCTGGATTTACTTGTCCTCAGTTACCTAGTATGATTTTGCTTAAAGTTGTTAGTTTTCATTACAAAAATAAAATCAAAATCAATTATAAGTTGGGAGGGTGTAGGGAGTTAATTTATGGCGTCCTTTGTATTCATTGGTATTTGTTAGTCTCAACAACCAAACCGAACATGCAGAGACAGTGACTCCACTGGCCACAGTGGATTAAGAGGAGAGGGACAAATGAAAATGTGAAGAGATTGCAATTTTGGATATGCTGCTTTTTGGGATTCATTTGGGAATAGACTCTTCATGCAAATTGTCTTTCAGTACTTTCTGCTACCATGCAGGTGTTGAGCTGGTTTTCAGACTACACGTTCTCACTCAGCTTGAGGATGGAAATTTTTTACATACCAAGTGGCATAACAACCTGTCAAATTACATCTTATCGTTGGCATCCGAGTCCTGGAACGATCCGTCCCTACTTTTGTTTATGCGTGAAAAAAGCTCGATAGTTTGTGCACACAACATTTCCTTCCTCAAGCAACGTGAGATTGTTTGTGCTACGCAACCCCTTTGAAGGCCAACGTAGTTGCAAAAATGCTTTCGGTCAAAGTTCTGAGTTTCGATATCTTATAAATCATCAGTCAAATCTATAGGACATTGTTTGGAACTATTGATGTCTATGATTATTAACTACAGTGAGTAATGTTTTATTAAAAAGGGATGAACGAATTGATCTTTGACTCCATATTGACAACATTCAGAACCAATGAAAGTTCCTTGCTTCAGGCCTTTATAGTTTATGAATGGCACAGGAGGTTTCAGCTCCATGAATGATTGTTTTTGTGTAATAATTAATGTTTTTTTGTAGAAAGAGATGTACAAATAAAATTTGAAAATTTGCTAAAATGTGTGGGTTGATTTGTGTATACAAGATGTAATGGAATTGTTCATGAAAAAGTCACAATATAAATAATTGAACAAAAAAGTTGGCCTTGTCTACATTAAAAAAAAAAAAATTAAATCGAACACGAGTCGTCTTTTGAATAGTCGAGTCCACTTTGCTTTCCTTTCCAGAATAGCGACTTCGCATTGCCGTGAGCAATAACTTGAATTCGTAGAGCTCAAATTATAAAAAATTCTGTTCAACTCAAAAATGTGTCAACAAAATCTCGACCAAAAAATTCTCTTGACCTCAAAATTGCGTCAACAAAATTCCGACCACCTCCCTTCTATATAAACATTACCTGCATAATGGAACACCACATTCGTTGATTGAGTCAACAGCAGGACGTGAGATAATATGAGTTCAAAAGATGGGAAATGGGATTTTGGATAGTGTTAGAATTACATTGAAATGGATTCACGTGAGAATTATTTTTTGGACAATTTTAACCCTACTACAATTCAATTATTTCAATAATACATTACTTTTCCTTTTTCAATATGTATTAAATATTACAAAATCTTTTTCATGTATGAATTTTGTATTATTAATTCTTAATTAATTAACATTAACATTAGTTTAGATTAATTGAATCTTGATCTACATAAATCTAGAATTATTATAGATAAATTTATTTCATTCATGTATCTAGGAATTTTAATGGATGTTCAAATTCAAGTATTAGCAATTAATTTTTATATACCAAATGTAATATAAAAAGATTGTTTATTTGTAGTATTTCATCATTACAAAAAAGTTGAATCATAGATGTTGAGTTTGAAGAGTACAATTTTCTTTTCTTAAATTTTTATCCTAAATTTTATCTTTCTTTAGTTCGTTTGTGACTCATCAAATCCTCCCAACAAATTGATATCAAATATTATTTTTACAACACTTAAAAAGTATATCAGAATAACATGCAATGCACGTTAACTCTGACTAGTATAGAGAAGTGAATGGACCAAGTGAGTTTAATTAAATGGGCCCAAGTTCAAGTTCAAGTCCAATTAATTGAAAAGTTGATGTCACGGTATATATGGGATCCACTCCGTCTGAGCATGTCACGTAATTTATAGATGTAATAATTTCTTTTTTCTGTTTTCCCATATTGATAATGCAGTTAATATTTTTGATATTGTAGGAATAATTTCAAATTGGAGATCAACAAAGAAATGAAAAAGAATCATGCTGTATGTACAATCTTGGTTGAAAACATTGATCGACAACATCCTACTTGACATCATCACATTCATTCATTTTAGAAAATAAAACATAATTTTATTGAATGAAAAAATCAACACAATGGATTGATAGATGAGGAGATGACTGGACAATGTCTTTTTTACAGTTTCAAGACACTTGTTTCTCAGTTCATCACTTAATAGAGATGTGTGTGTATCAAGTTATTAGGGATCCCTATAGCAGAGAGCAGTTGGGTTCACAAAATTCTATGTTTTATTATATACTAATTCGATTTGACCATACTTGCCTTTACTGTTGTCCAGTCAACCCTATTTTGTTTAATTATTTTCTTTTTCATATCACTCACGGTTGATGAC